GCGTCGGTGTTCATGGTCTGGGGATGTCAAGCATTTGTCCGCGATACGTCCGCGGACAAGCTCTCCTCCCACGCCGTTCTCTGTGTCTTCCTTGGCTTCCCCCTTGACGCGCCTGGGTGGCAGTTTTACCACCCCACTTCGTGCCGTGTCTTGCCCTCTCATGACGTCACGTTTGACGAGTCGGTTCCCTTCTACCATTTCTTCCCCTACCCCACTGCCCCTCTCCCTCCCCCACCGCTCTTTCTCACACCAGGTCCTCCTCCAATAGACCCTCTCCCCCCTCAGGGTCCTGCTCCCTCAGGTGTGTCCCAGGTAGACCCTGTCGAGCCTGTCAAGGTAGCGGTCGACTCTGGTGCTGCTAGGGGTACTGCGTCTGGGGGTGCTGAGCCTGGGGTTGCTGAGCCTGGGGATGCGGAGCCTGGGGGTGCTGAGCCTGGGGTTGCTTAGTCCGAAGGTCCGGAGCTTGGGGGTGCTGAGCCTGAGCGTGCGGAGCCTGGAGGTGCTGAGCCTGAGCGTGCTGAGCCTGGGGGTGCTGAGCCTGAGCGTGGTGCGCTTGGAGGTACTTTGTCTTCTGGAGGTCCTCCGGGTGTCTTGTCACGGCGGGAGACACTCTCTCCACCGCAGCTGCACGAGTGGTTTGCTCGGCGTTGGAGACTTCAGAGTGGCACTGCTGAAGCCGGCGGTGCTGCTGGTGCTGGAGGTGCTGCTGGAGCTAGTGCTGCTGGAGGTGCTGGAGCCGCTGGTCGCGGAGGTGTTCGTACTAGAGGTACTGGGGCTGCTGGAGCTGGGGTTGCTGCTAGAGCTGGAGCTGCTGGAGGTACTGGAGCTGCTAGAGCCGCTGGCCCCGGAGGTGCTCGTACTGGAGGTACTAGAGCTGCTGGCGCTGGGAGTGCTACTGGAGCTGGAGCCGGAGGTGCTGCTGGAGCAGGAGTTGCTGGAGCTGGCGGTGCTGCACGAGTTGGAGTTGGAGCCTCTGGAGCTAGAGCTGGTGGAGGTGCTGGCCCTAGGGGTGCTGGTGATGTCGGTGCTGGTTTTGGAGGTAGTGTGCTGGTTCTTCAGCAGGTTCTTGGTCTCCCTCCTTCTACTAGCCTTACTCCTCCCTTACTGTGTCCACCGTCTGACCAGTCTCAGCCGCGGTTACAGCCAACCTCCCCGCTGTCTGCTCCGTCTCCTTACACTGAGCAGCCCGGAGGTCTTACATAGCGTCGTGAGTCTGCGTCTCGTTCTGCGTTGCCTGTTCGCGCTGTTCGCACTGGTTGTCGTGTTCCGCGCCAGCGTCCTCCCCTGTCCCCGGCTCACACCAGATGGCACTTCGTCCTTCCTCTGTTCCACTGCGTGTCCCTCTGTCGTCTCCTCCTGCGTCCTCCCTTGCTGACGGTCTGGACCCGGAGTCTGACTCCCTTCATGCTGCTAGTCCTATGTCACGCATCTACTGGCCACTGTTGTCACTGACCCTTCGTTTGAGTCTACTGATGTGCCTGCTCTTGTTGCTGAGCTAGTTGACTTTGCTGCTCGCTGTCGTCTTGACTACGCCGCTAGTCTTGTTACTGAGTCTGAGTCTGTCTGTCCTCCGTCCGTCAGGGGTGAGTGTGCTCTTGGCACGGACGTCCTTGAGTACACGCAGGAGGACTTTTAGTGTCTTGCAGCCACTGTACCTCATCTTGTGGCCATGCTGCTTGCCCCTGAGGGAGACCCAGATGCACCAGACATCCTGACCCCGTGCTCTTACGCTGAGGTGATCGCGGATGAGTACTCCTCTTAGTCGCAGACAGCCATGGATGAAGAGATGGCATCCTCGAAGTCCACAGGCACTTACGTCGACGCAGTTCCCCCTCCTGGGGCGAACATTGTCGATGGCATGTAGATTTTCATGGTGAAGCGGCCGCCGGGTTCTCCGACTGTCTTCAAGGCTCGTTACGTTGCACAAGGTTTCAGTCAGCAACAGGGAGTTGACTTCTTCCAGACCTTCTCCCCTACCCCAAAGATGACCACTCTTCAGGTGCTGCTGCACGTTGCCACTCAGCGTGACTACGAGCTTCACTCTCTTGACTCCAGCACAGCTTTCTTACAGGGCAGCCCGCACGAGGAGATCTGGATGCACCGTCCACCTGGCTTCACTAGGTCGTTTCCTGCAGGTACCCAGTGGAGCCTCCGGCGGCCAGTCTACAGTCTCCGCCAGGCGCCTCGAGACTGGTATGAGACACTGAGGACTACGCTTGCGGCTCTTGGGTTTGCTCCTTCCACTGCTGACCCGTCGCTGTTTCTACGCACCAAAACTTCGCGACCGCCGTTCTACATCCTCGTGTATGTCGACGACTTGGTCTTTGCCAGTGTTGAGACTGCTGGACTGGCCCACGTGAATTCAAAGCTACAGAAGATAAACACGTGCACAGACCTGGGTGAGTTGCGTAGCTATCTTGGTTTGTAGATCATCCGGGACAGAGTACAGCGCACCATTTCCTTGACTCAGTCTCACATGGTGCAGCAGGTACTTCAGCGCTTCGACTTCCAGTACTCCTCGCCACAGTCCATTCCTCTGCCTACCGGTCACTCGCTCTCAGCTCTGCCTTCGGATGAGTCCGTAGAGCCGAGTGGCCCGTATCCAGAGCTTGTGGGCTGCCTCATGTACCTGATGACCTGCACTCGACCTGACCTTGCTTACCCTCTTAGCATCCTGGCACGCTACGTTGAGCCCAGGAGACACCGACCAGAGCGCTGGAAGGCCGCTAAGAGGGTGATGCGGTACTTGTGTAGTACGTCGGGCATGGGGCTCGTGCTTGGAGGATGGGCTCGAGTTGTCCTCACTGGTCACGTAGACGCTTCTTGGCTACGCATCGATCGTCATAGGGTTACACCTTCAGCCTTGGCTCCGGTTCTGTTTCGTGGCGGTCTACCCGCTCGTCTTCTGTTCTCAGCTCCAGTTGTGAGGCTGAGATCTACGTAGGGGCCATGGCTGCACAGGAGTTACGCTGGCTCACCTACATGCTGATCGACTTGGGAGAGCCGCCTCGTTCTCCTTCTGTTCTGTACGTCGACAACAAGGCCATGATTGCCTTGTGTCAGGAGCACAGACTGGAGCACAGAACGAAGCACATCACTCTGCACTACTTCCTTGCTTGAGAGTGCAGCAGCGTGGTCAGCTTCGTCTTGTTTACGTGGCCTCTTAGGCCAACACTGCCGATATCTTCACCAAGGCACTTCAACCTTGTGATCATCAACGTTTCTGTATTATTCTAGGCCTTGTGCCTACTTTGGCTCACTTGCTCCCTTCTTGAATTTGCTTGTACTGTGATCTATGTACTGATACCTGCATGCTTACACTTGCTAGGTTGTGATCACTATAGTGCTTGTTCTCCTACATATATATAACTAGTCTTGTGGCCATTTGCTTGTGCTCAGACTGCGTGGTGACTTTGTGACCCATCCTGAGCTTGCTTTGCTTTTCTTGACCGGTCTTGTGACCTCTTGTTCTCCCCCACTTTGCCTATGGGGGTGTGTCAAACTTATATGTTGCTCATTGTGTAGGCTATTTTGGGGTAGCCCATATGGGGTACAACCCAATTTGGGTTAGCACTTGTACCCAATTAGGCCTTGTGGCCTTGAAGTTGTGCTCGGAATGTTTGGTGACGTTGTGATCCACCCTGAGCTTGCTGTGCTTTGCTTGACTGGTCTTGTGACCTCTTGTTCTCCCCCTTTTTAGCCTATGGGGGTGTGTCAAACTCATATGCTATAGTCTGTGTAGGTTGTAGTGGGGTTGACACTAGAGGGTACAACATTTCTTGGTTTCCTACTTGTACCCACCTGTTTCCTAGTGCATTCATTCCTTGTTCTTTCACACCCCGGTCACGTAGTAGGCATCCAGCTCGACGGGATGAACACTCTGCTCAAGGGTCTATTCCAACATGGGTACTCCATGGATGCAAAGATTACTACAGTAGAAAAACAGAAGCTGTTACAGTGGGAGAAGGACTTAGCTGTAAGAAAGGGAGCAGGAAAGATTTGGGTACCGAACAATGCCCCGCTCCGACATATCTTACTAGAGGAGTTCCACGATGTGGCATACGCGGGACATTTCGGGAGCAATAAGACATTAGCAGGAATAGCAAAGTATTACTACTGGCCCTGGATGGCAGCAGACGTGCAGCAGTTCGTCACCTCTTACGACACGTGTAGGCGGATGAGGAGTAGCAAGCAGAAAAAAGCAGGGTTACTTCGGCCTCTACCCATACCGGAGCAGCCGTGGCAAGTCGTTAGCCTAGACTTGATCACTAGGCTACCTTCGACCTCACGAGGGCATGACGCTATACTCGTGGTGATCGACAAGTTCTCTAAAATGAGACACTTCATTCCGACCAACGCCACGGTTGCAGCTGAAGCAACTGCTCGCCTCTTCTTCAACCGCATCATCACCATCCACGGCTTACCCACTACACTCACCTCGGACAGAGACCCAAAGTTCACAAGTAAATTCTGGAGGGAACTCATGGGTTTGTTGGGGACAAAGTTTGCGATGTATTCAGCGTACCACCCCCAGACTGAGCGACTGCGCACAGTTTGCAAAGACGACATCAGCCACTGGGATCTCCAATTACTGACGCTTGAGTTCGCTCACAACAAAGCTTCACATGCAGCCACAGGGAAATCTCCTTTCTTCCTGTGTTACAGACAAGAACCACTTACACTACAATAGCCAACCACACCGGCACACGTCGAAGAAGCACATGACTTCGTCATTACCATGCAGTAGCTATGGGAGAAGACTCAGTGACACCTCACCACGATGCAGACCTCCCAGAAGCAGTATGCCGATTGCCAGCGACGTGATCACACCGTCGCAGTCGGAGATCAAGTGCTTCTTGACACGCGCAGCTTGAACCTGTCTCACCTACAATCCAAGCTCCGGCCTCGCTTCTGTGGTCCTTTTCACGTTGAGGCATAGGTGACACCAGTAACACTCCGCTTGCGCTTACCTACTACGTGGAAGCTTCACAACGCTTTCCATGTTTAGGGGGCTGCTGGTTGGGCAGCTGGAGGCGCTTCCCTCGTACCTGCAGGAGGAGGGGGAGGACTGGGCGGAGGAAGGAGGGGTGGGGGAGGAGGAGGGCGGTGATATGGGGAGAGTGGCGAAGGGAAGATTGGTGAAGGGAAAGGGGGATGGAAAGAGGAGTTTGCGGAATAGTGGAAAGGGAGGAGAGGGAGGGGAGAGGGGAAGGGAGCAGGAGGAGGAGGAGGAGGAGGAGGAGGAGGAGGAGGAAGTGAGAGAGGGCCAAGGACTAGAAAAGGTGGCTCAATTAGTCGGTCTAAATGACAGTGATCGTAGAACCAGCACCACTCCATCATCCTCCTCTTCTTCCTCCCCTTCCTCCCCATCCTCTCTCTCCTCATCGCCGTCCTACGTGGCAGTTATAGGGGAGGATTCCCATTGGTACGTCCTCCCCTCACCCTGCATCCGCCAGCTAATCAGAGCGCAGTACAACCCCACCGACCAATCGGAGCTCGCCATGTCAGCAGCCGACGGGCGACAGCTCGTTGGCAGGTACCTTTGGCCGGATGGCCGGCAGGACGAGGCAGATGAGACGGTTGGGTGGCAGCGCGCGGCAAAGCTGAAACTTTTCCTGCCACCTGTACCGGAGATGCTACAGGGATGGCTCAGGGGGAGCGGAGGGGAAAAAGGGGAGAGAACAGAGGTGGGAGGAGTAGAAGAGAGTGGAAGGGAAAGGGATTGGGATGATGGAGTGATTGGGCAAATGGAAGATCGGGATTTGGGAGCTGCAGGAGACTCCTTATCCACCAGCACCATTGAAAGCAAATCACAATTTGTCTCGTGGCTATCCACCCCTCACCCCACATTCAGCGTTTGGCGAATCAAATCCAAAACCCCCTTCCTCCACCTCACCTCCGCCATCCACTTCCCCCAAGGCTGGTCCCCCATCTCCCCCCTCTCCCCTTCAGAAGACTCCAATCACCTCACCCTCCCCTCATCACTCTCCTCCCTCGAAGCCTCCCTCAAGTCACACAAGCGAAAGCTATTACAAATTAGAAAGAGAGTGAAGGCTTCGGCGGTGTATAAGCGGCGGCAGCAGGTGACAAACATGGGGAGGTGTGAGTATGAGGAGGGGAAGGTGGGGAGGAGGGTGGAGGCGCTGAGGAGGCGGATTGCGGAGTGGCAGGAGTTTGTTCAGGTGGTTCAGGTGCTGGCTCAGGCGGATGCGCTGGACCCGCAGAGCAGCACGCTCACGCCGCTCGGGGAGATTGCCGCCAAGGTGAGCTGCGACATGGCCTGGCCAGGTGGGTTAGGTGTTTGTTTAGGTGCTGTGTGGAAAAGCAGGTCAAAATCTCTCTTATGAAGATACAAGTGAGGTTGTAGCAGCGTTCTTTCCACCTACCGGGATTTGGGTAATATGCAATCAGCTGAGTTTTCGCCTAAGTAACCACCTGTTTTGCAGGTGCTGGTTCAGGTGGATTGTTACAGGTGTGAGGGGTAGAGGTGCGGGGTGGCATAGTGGTGCTCTTTCATAAATCACTCCCTCATGCAGCTCTCCCTTTTTTTCGCCTGACTTCGTGTTGTGAACTGCCTCAGAACCTCCCTCTCCTTGCCTATTATCTGCTCCACCCTCCCTCCCCTGTACGCAGGTATGAGGGGTGAACGAATTGTGGATCGCGGTGGCACTCTCGCACCCCTCCCCCCCACCCATGTCGTGAGCTGCCTCTGAACGTCCCTCCGCTCACCAAAACTCTTCTCACCCCTTCGTCTCTCCATTCACGCAGGTGCGAAGAGTGAACGAGCTGTGGATCGCGGTGGCGCTCTTGCACCCCTCCCTCCCGCGCCTCTCTCTACCAGCCATAGTGGGGTGCTGCGATGCTCTGGTGTCTAAAGGCATGCGCATGCGCACAGGCGACGGCAGGTGAGTTATCGTGGTGGGTTCTGAAGGCACGCACATGCGTACGAGAGACGGCAGCAGGTGAGGGGTGTTAGTGCAGAGGTGAGAAATGTCAGGTGTCAACCATAAACCCTCCCTCGTTCTCCCGTTTTGCCCATTCCCTTTTGTTGCACCCTAACAGCCACCCTACTAGTTCGCCCTCCTTCCCCTACAAGCCATCCTGGCAGGTGCGGGAGTGGGTGTGTGAGGCATGGTCTGAGACGTCTCACAACTTGTCCTCCACATGTGCCCTCTCCCTTATGCCCTAGCCTTTCATCTCATCCTTGCTCTCAACTCCTCCTCCCCCCACCCTCCATTTCGCCCTCCTTCCCTTATGAGCCTTCCTGGAATATGCAGGAGTGGGTGTATGTGCGGGTTTGTTTCGAGTTGATCCAGAACTTGCTTTTCGCATCTGCCCTATCCCTTATGTCATGCCCTTTGGTCTCACTTACCACGTCCCCCCACCCTCGCTCTGCCAGTTCGCCCTCCTTCCCGTACGAGCCTTCCTGGGAGGTGCAAGAGTGGGTGTACGAAGCTGAAGAGCGCCGCGATTGGCTGATGCAGCTCCAGCTGGCTGCAAACGTGGCAATCCCTGCTGACCTGGACGCGCAATTCGCTGGAGTGGTGGAGGCGTGGGCGCAGGATGTGACGTGGCGCCAGCTCATCGCTGACTGTGCAGGGTTGGACGAGGGGGACATTGCGCGGCTGCTAAGGCGCACCATTGATATACTTTCTCAGGTTTGTTATGCCACTTCATTGCTCCAACCACCTCAGATATCACCTCTCTCTATCACAAGCATCATCGCCCCATGTAAAGCATTATCTCTCTGTTTCCGGAATGCCTTGTTACGTGCCCTACCTCTCTCACTCTCCTCCATGTCCCCACTCTCCCTTTCTCCCACCCTCGCTTGCTCCTCTTATTACCTCTCACGTTATCCCTACCTCTGCCTTTTCCACCTCTCTCTTCCTCTCCCCTCAAACTCTCCGTGTGCAGATCCCGTATCTTCCAGGCATCGATCCCTCATTGGCCAAGGCGGCAAAGCAGTCAGCTTATGTCATGGAGAGGCCACCTATCTCCGAGCTCATTGGCTGAGCATCATGTTGTAACTGCAGCACAGTTTTAAGAGATTCGGCAGCTCAATTCTAGGTTCTCAGTCTGGCTTTGTGCAGTAATGTATATTTTATGAGAGGTGAATGCTTTTGTTTAATGTGCTATGCTGATGATAGAATCAATGAATCGATTAATGTTCACTGATTGAGAACCTCGCAGCTAAAAGGGCAGTAATTGGTGAATGGACCCACTTTGATGTGTTGGTGTGCATATGCTACCTGCAAAATCTTACAATCTCAGAACAACTGTAACATAAAGTACAACTGAACAACCTCTGATTCGCTCGCAACCAGATCGTGAGGTAACCTGCCCTAATACTGCTGCTTCGTGATGCACCCCCTTGCTCCTTCCCAGCCCTGCCCGTCGCAGAGCTCCGCAACGAAGCGGGCACGGCATTTCACGGAATACCACACCGGGCAAAGGCCATCTATTTCCCAAATTTCCACGCGTTTTTGCTAAGTTGCAAGCGGCTGGTGAAGCACCACCTCGATCTGCAGGGTACCACGTGAATTCGCGAAACAATATCCGGAATCGCGAAACACCGCTCATTTGTGAAATAAACACGCGAATTCCCGAAGCACCTTGCGGATTCGCAAACCTGCTCGGTCCGAGCTAACTAGACCTTTCTCGCTGCATCTCGACAGTCAGAGGTGGTTCTAGAACCACCGTCATCGTTCATGCCAATTTTATAAATACAATTGGCGAGTGACAGAGACATGATTAAAAAACCTACAACACATTCAGCTACTTTCATACCAGCTTACGACGAACTCAAAGCTTTAGAAAAACTCTTATTTTCAAAATCGTACCAGCTTCGCCAACACCTCATTGGATAGACGGTCTTCAGAGAATGGCATTCGGTATGTTAGATCTACTTTTCGAGCAACAACAACCTCACCTTCTCGCATCGTCTTACCCGACCCATTGTCATTCCCAACCATCACCTTCGAACTTTGCCTCCTCTTCGTCTCCGCTTTTTGGCGATCCGTTCCTATTTGACAACGGTTTTGACTCATCAGCTGGGAATATGGCGTAGAGACGACGCAATGACACACGGAAACATGAGATTGCACGGAAGCAGCAAGCGCACGAGCTTGACGCGCGAAGGCATGCAGCGTACGCGCGAGGGGCGCAGCACGACGTGAATGAGACAAAGTTTCGACAATCACAGTACAAGGAGCAAGCAGCTGCCCATCAAATACCCGTCCAGCACCCAGCAAACAATAGTGGCAAGCGCCCCGAGACACCGGCAGCGTCGCCGGAATTCCTGCTGCTAAAATCGCTCGCGTATCGTCATTATCGGCTGACGATGCTGCTCGGAAGTTGCAAGCAGTATGGCGGGGCAATTCGGTGCGCCAAGGCAAGCCTCTCGAACTGGCTCGGTCCATAGCTAACGTTCGGAAACTGGTTCACGAGATGGACGCGCAGCTTCGGGATAACAAATTCGTGGCTAAGATGGTTTCTGACCCTTTGGAAAAGCTTCGGGTGAGCGAGACAATCATGAGCTGGCTCCTTTGGTTGGACGAGGTGCAGTCCCCGAACCAGGACGTTCGGAACTTGCGTCGGGACATGGCCAGGAAGCTGACGAAGTTGCTAGACAGGGTCGACATTCTCACAAGTACTCAACCACAGGAGGCTGAGGCTCCCCTTGGAGTTCTTGTTGACACGGGTGTTACCACAATGGGTGATGCAGGAATGGATGTAGACCCACTTTGTGAGGATTCCTGCCATTGTGGCAATCAATGCAGCAACAAGAGATGTGTCAGCTGCGAGAGCTCTGATGTTGCCAGAAGCACGCATCAGGTGGGGAGAGTGGCTAAGAGGCAAAAGCAGAGGCACTGGAGGGACGCCTTGTGGCAGTGGAAGGAGAGAATGGCTGGGAAGCGAGGCGGTGCTGTCAGAACATATATGTAGCTTATGCTGTTGTGTAGGCTACAGTGGGGTATACCATAGGGGGTACAACCCAATTAGGGTTTTGCCATTTGTACTCACTTCACTCATAGTTCATTCATTCTCGCTCTATTCTCCACATGGTATCGAGCAGGTTCCCCCGTGGGAACTGTGCTTAGGGCCCACCACTTTTAAACTTTTTTTTCTGCCCGGAGCGCGCTCCGGGCCCTCGCTCTCACTCTTTCGGCCTGCCCTGCAGGCCCCTAGCCGCCCGCGCGCCGCCTGTCCCGGCCCCTAGCCGCCCGCGCGCCGCCCGTTCAGGCCCCTAGCCGCCCGCGCGCCGCCCGTCCCGGCCCTTAGCCGCCCGCGCGCCGCCCGTCTTGGCCCCTAGCCGCTCGCGCGCCGCCCGTTCAGGCCCCTAGCCGCCCGCGCGCCGCCCGTCCCGGCCCCTAGCCGCTCACGCGCCGCCCGTTCAGGCCCCTAGCCGCCCGCGCGCCGCCCGTCCCGGCTCCTAGCCACCCGCGCGTGCCCGTCCCGGCCCCTAGCCGCCCCCGCGCGCCCGTCCCGGCCTCACACCGCCCGTGCGCCGCCCGTCCCTGCTGCACGCCGCCGTCCTGGCCCCCCACGCCGCCCGTTAGCCGCCGTGCAGCCTGAGCCGCCCGAGCCGTCTGCGCAGCTGAGGAGCCGAGCCGCCCGAGCCGCCTGTGCCGCTGACTGCCCGAGCTGCCCGAGCCGCCTGAGCCGCCCGAGCCGCCCGAGCCGCCTCCCCCCCCCCCCCCTTTTCCCGTTGCCTGTCGAGGCGACCTGAGGGGGCCGCTTGCGTGGTCTCCCCTACTTCTCCTCCTCCTTCGTCTCGAGCCGCCCTGCAGCCGAGCCGCCTCGCCGCCGAGCCGCTTTACACCCGAGCCTCCCAGCAGCCGAGCCGCCCTGCAGCCGAGCCGCTCTTCACCCGAGCCTCCCAGCAGCCGAGCCGCCCTACAGCCGCGCCGCCGGGTCGCCGGGCTGCCGAGCTGCAGTTGCTGCCGAGCCGCCCTGCCGCCGAGCCGCCCGAGTCGCCCGAGCCGCAGAGCCGCCGTGCTGCCGAACCTCTGAGTCGCCGAGCCTACTCTACCCACCACTGGTGAGCCCCTGCCCTGCTAGCACGCTGCGCGTCGCCTGCTTGCCTGCCTGCCTCCCTTTTTGGCTTGCCTGGCTGCCTGCCTTACTGCTGCTACTCCTGCTCCTGCCTCTACTGGTGGAGCCAGATGCGGCCCCATCGACGTCTGCGTGAGTCCCTCACGCCCCAGCAGCTGCGTGAGTGGTACGCTGGTTGGGGCTGTAGGGGTGGTGGCGCTACTACTGCTACCACTCCTGCTGCTTCTACTACTGGTGGCGGCCAGATGCAGCTCCCGCGACCCCCCCGCGCGTCTCTCACGCCTCAGCAGCTTCGTGAGTGGTACGCTCAGAGTGGAGGGTCTCTCAGTTCTGTTCGCTGCTCTTACGTGATTCTCACTGGTGCTCGGACTGGTCAGCCTTGTGGGACACCTAGTCATACACAGTCCCGCTGCTTCGCCCGTCTGAGCGACGCCTGGCGTACCGTGTTTGGCGACGAGGCTGAGCTCCCCGACTGGGTGGAGTTGCTTAGGCAGAGGGTAGATATATTTGCTCTTGACTATGATGCTATTCTCACTGCCATGTATGCATTGCCTACTAGTGCTGACCGTGCCGGTCACCTGTGCGTACCGCCTGACCCGGGTATAGGACCTGCTGCTCTAGCTACTGGTGAGGCTGCTGCTGCTCTGGGTGCTAGTGAGTCTCCTGCTCCAGGTACAGGTGCGGCTGCTGCTCTAGGTGCTAGTGAGTCTGCTTCCTCAGGTGCGGGTGAGGCTGCGCTCTCAGGTACCACGTTGGCTTCGGCCTCCCTCACCTTTACACTTGACTCTGGGGCTTCTCGCTCCTTCTTTCGAGACCGCACCAGACTCACGCCGCTTGGTCGGCCTGTTGCAGTCTCCCTGGCTGACCCCTCTGGGGGTCCTGTCCTCGCTCACTTTTCCACTGTCCTCCCGTGTCCGGCTGCCCCCTCGGGCACCCTGTCTAGTCTGTACCTCCCCTCGTTCTCGACGAACTTGGTGAGTGGTGCAGACCTGCAGGATGCGGGGGTTCACCAGTTCACTCCTGCGAGTCAGCGGGTGACCCACTGCACGGACGCACGCACATGCCGGCACCTGGCCACGTTCTCGCGTCGGCCGGGGTCGAGCCTCTACACCCTGACCACTGAGTCTCCTCCTGTCCCTGCGTCCGGTCAGGTAGCAGCGTCAGGTCAGGTGTTTGCTGCTGCGTCCAGGTCTGGTCCTGAGTCTGCCCCCTGCTCGTGTCGCCTCTTGTCTCACGAGACCTTCATGTGTCCCCTGTGTCGAGGGGCGCCTCAGGGCTGCTCCTGACTCCTCCCAGTTTCCCCAGACAGAGGCTCCTCTGCAGACACTTCACATGGACGTGTGGGGCCCGGCCCCCGTCCGTGGGCAGGGTCACGAGCGCTACTTCCTGTTGGTGGTTGACGACTCCTCGCGTTACACCACAGTCTTCCTCTTGCGCAGCAAGGGTGCTGTCACTGAGGTGCTGATCGACTGGATCCGCGAGGCTCGTCTCCAGCTCAGGAGGAGCTTCGGCTCGGACTTTCCTGTTCTGCGTCTGCACTCTGACCGAGGTGGGGAGTTCTCCTCTCGCCTTCTGCGAGACTACTGTCATGCACAGGGGATCCGCCAGACCTTTACGCTTCCGGACTCTCCACAGCAAAATCGGATTGCTGAGCGCCGCATTGGCATGGTCATGGATGTCGCTCGTACGTCCATGATGCATGCGGCTGCCCCCCATTTTCTGTGGCCGTTTGCGGTTCGGTACGCGGCGCATCAGCTCAACCTTCACCCCAGGGTCTCTCGGCCCGCGATGTCCCCAGTGTTACTGTGGACGGGGAAGGTCGGCGATGCGTCTGCGTTCCGTGTCTGGGGATCTCGGGCGTTTGTCCGCGACTTGTCTGCGGACAAGCTGTCCCCCCGTGCTGCTCCCTGTGTCTTCCTTGGCTTCCCCCCTGACGCTCCAGGGTGGCAGTTCTACCA